AGGAGTGTCATGGGACTCGCGGTCAGTTGCCCGAGGCCAGACAGTTGGGCTATGACGGCATTGGCTAGGACTGTGCCCGGGAGCCTCTCGTCTGGCGGCGGCGGCGCACGTGTCTCGCGCGCATCGATGACACCAGAGAAGTACCGCAGTTTCCGCAAAGTGCAGATGGCCCATGAGTTCCAATTGGATGCGTTGAGGGCCCGCCGCTTCGCCTCGTCTCTATCGGCCAGTGCATCCTCCCCTGGGCGCTCGCGGGCCGGCGCCTCCTCGGTGGGGGGTGATCTCGAGGCGGCGAAGCGCGGCCGCTCGGCGCGAGGTCTACGCTCCTCCAAAATATTGGCGGGCGGCAAGGCTGTAGAGGCTGCGCCCGTACTTCGAGCAGCGTTGCTCGACGCTGCAAGCGTCTTTCTCGCGTCCGCGGCAGCGCTGGCAGTGGCCTCCGCCGCGGCGACAGCCTTCCGAGATGCGTCCGAAGCGGCTCTCGCCGCCTCGAGGTCCTTGCCAGCTAGAGGTTGCATGTGGGCCACCTCTTCGCGAATTGAAGACCCCGTCCTGGCCCGCTTCCCATCGACCCCTCCCCCCGCCACCCCTCCGCCAGAGGGCCCCCCAGTTTGGCTGCCACCGCCGAGCGCGGCGAACGCCGGCTGGCGCGGGCGGGGGCAGTCATCGCGCGCGCGCGCTCCCATCGCGCATGACGTCGCGCGAATCAAGAGGCGCAGTGCACTGGCTGCCGCCCGGCCCCACCCCGACCCGATGAACGGAGGTCGAGGACATGGAGAGGTGGTGGACGAAAGGTGCACTAGTGATGAGGCGGCGAGGAACCACGTAGCTTTTCTCATTCTTGGGACGTCATGCAATATCTTCGCGGTGCCACTGAGGGTCTCGGGCGGAAGCGGTGGCCCAGCATCTAGACTCCCCGACGCAGCGCCGCCGCTGGGCGTCGGGGACTCGGCCCCGTTCGGCAGGTTAATAAGCTGTCCCTCCATTCTCCTCGGCGCCATGTTCTTTCTGTTGGCGATCTTGTCAGACCACCCCCCCTTTGGGTCGCGAAGGGGAGATGGGGCGCTGCTCCTGCGCGCGTGGCGCAGATGCAGTAAGGCTTCCCGCGGCTGAGGCTGAACGAGGTGTTCTGTCATCATGTCAGCGCGCTGCGCAGTCGTTTCGCAGCGCCGCATTTCGCGATGATCCCGCCTAGTGACCTCGACCAACCAATCGAGGCAAGTACGGTCGGTGCCCGTCGCGTGCCACGAGGCGCTCGTCTTCTCCTTGAGGCGGATTTTATTCGCCGCTTCACCATCCTCTGCGATCATGATCTTGGCCATATGCCTACCGGCATGGGCACCTATCCAACGGTGACCTCTGCTAGGGCAGTATCTGCTTCGGCTGGTCCCAAGAGTAAGATCATCTTGGTGTTCTCCGCGTTGGCCTTCGCCCACGGAACCTGTTTTCCCCCTTGGGGCATTGGGCGTCAGTTCCGCCGTCGCGAACGACGCCCCGCAGGCATCGGCCCAAAATCGCAAGATCGATGAGGATTCAACGCGTAGGCAAGTGTCTAGAGCCACGGTCTCGCTCGCTGTCGACGAGTGCGCAAATGCCGTTTGCATCGCGCGCGCGCAGTTGGTCGGAGGGGAGGTCCGCGGCCGGGCGCGGGCATCGCATCCACAAGTTGTAGACAGGATTGTCTTCGAGCAGTCGGCGAACACCTTGAGATTCCCCGGGCCATTCCCATAGTCTCATGCTCGTGGAGGTCGGGCGCGAATCGGTGCGACCTTAGACGTGCACTCTTAGTTACCTGTCTAGTCGGCATGCACAATGAGTGGGGGATGTCGCATCGACGGCATCGTGCGAGGTAGAGTCTCTTCATAAAAACACTCGCGGCAGACGAAGCTGACCCCCCTGCCGCGTCGGACTGTCGCCCGCAAGCCCTGGCGCAGGCGCCTTGCGAGCGTGCGAAGCATCTGTTCACGCGCTGATCTGTTACTGCCAACGCACATTTAAAAGGGGCAGGTTTCGCCCTCCCGGACGGCGGCGGGGGGTCTTTAGTGATGTCTGGTTGGCCTCGGGCGTGGTGGGAGCGGGCGCGCTGGCCTTCGCCCGCGCGCTTCCGCCGGCCTCGCCGCGCCGGGAGTCGCCCCCCCCCCCCCCCATGCTCATGAGTGGCAGCATGTGTCTGAGGCGCTCAAGAGCGTCTTCCCGCGTGATCTGAATCTCATGAAAACCGCATCTAACGAAGCGTCCGAGGGGCCCGGGTGGACCAGGGCGGACGCCAGCGTCAGTGATGCTGTTCCATCCAGTCTGAAGAGTGTCTGGTTTAACTGCCTTCTAAAAGCCGTCGATGAATCTGCCGAGGAAGTGCTAGCTCCTCGTGGCGTTGGGTCGACTCTGGCCAGCGGCAAACGCTGCCTTCTGACAGTGGCGTTGCCAGAATGCACTCGACAAGGGGTGGCCTTCAAGCGCGAGCCTCAGCTGCGCGACTGGGCGGCGAGATTTCATCTCTGCCCAGGTCCCTTGCCGCCGCTCTCTTGGGAGCTCGGCCCACGTTTTGACGCCGTCGCTCCTGCCGTCTCCGCGCGGGGGTGCCTGAGCGCAGGCGCTGGCGGCATAGGACTGCTGCCCGCCATTGCCTGGGAGGCGCGCCGCTGCGTCAAGTAGCTTGCTTCATTCAGCGAGCGACGCAGGGCTGGCTGCCTCGGAGGACAAGGCTGCCCACATAGTCTCGCCCTCCTCATCGCTTCGCTGGAGCGCGACGTGCCCCTTAGCTCTGGACTTGGCAAAGCGCGCCAGCTCGGGGTGTTTGCCGCAACGAGATCAAACGACCAACCCGCGTGCGACTGCTTGCCAGCGGCAGGTGCTTCGCGCGCGGCTCGCGGGCGGCATTGAAACGTCAACGCATGTGAGAAATAACCCTGTCCCATTCTTAGTCGACGTACTGTGTAGCATCGGGCGCATCGTTAACTTCCTTCTTGGTCAGCTGCATCGCAACGCGCGCGTTGGGCACCAGTGTGCAGCGTCATGCCATGCGAGAGCAACTCTCGGCGCGCCTGCCCAGAGCCAGAAGCTGCAAGCGGCGCAACCTGCAGTGCGGCCCCAGCACAAGCTTCCTTATGTATGTGTGCGTTGGTGACAGAAGGCGCAGTTCGCACTGCATAGTAGAACTGTCGATGTGGCTGAATGTGGCAAGCAAAGGGCATAGCTGGACACGCTGGGCCTACACTGGCATCAGGGTTCTACGACGCAGTAGCATCAACTTTCGCTGGCGCAACAGCCACATAGAAGGATCATCCTGGTATAACTTGGTGGTCGCGTTGTGTGATCCACCAGGGATATTAGCTAACATAACGGATGCCCTTACAATCGGTGCCCCTAACGTTTTCATCCGAACGGACCTGGCCGCATTGGTATCAGCGACGACACGTCGGTGGACATGCTTGCATCGTGGACAACCTTCACTACTCGCGTGGTGGCAACGGGTTTTCTCACCATGCAGCGTCCAGCAATGTAGGGTGGTTACGCGTCGCCGATCCTGGGCCTTCAGGACATCCGCCCACAACTCTTGGGCATGACATCGTTGTTTTTTTGGTATTCCAAACGCCGCGATCAACACTCCCAGGGCGAGTAGCTCTCTGGACTCGAACTGACCCGATCATCCTGTCCATGCCGGACACAGCGCTCAAAATCAGAAATAACACCTCACCCGTGCAAGTGTCAGACAACTCTCGGGCGTGATTGTCTGAAACACCATCCCGAATGTCCAACATGAACCCTTCCCCCACGCATGTTTTTCACAATCAATTTCTTCAACAGGAATGGGGTGGTGGTGTGCCCCTCCTATCGTTTCCATGGGGGTAGAGATCCTTCTTCTGGGTTTGTATACAAGTCTGACAAGCAAAGTGCCTCGAAATCCCCACTCATCGAGGACCGCAGCGTCAGCAGGTGGCCCCTGTTGGTTCAGGAACTAGAGCTCGGGTTCCGCACAAGCCTTCGCCAGCGCAGCCCACCGCAGTCGCCGACTTCTCTTTTGCTTTCCAAGGCACTGCAAATGGGCCAGCCGCCTGCCACAGGCGCTGATCAATGTGGTCGAGGCAATGTCGAGTGGGCCGCGGGTGGGTGGCGGCGCGGGTGGGTCTTTGCGCGGGCGGCTCGCGGCACGGGGTCTGGGGCGACAGCGACAACAATCACCATCACAATAAGAAGTGCCGTTCTTCGTTGCTCGCGTGCCGCCTGTTTCTTCTTGCCCATGGATAGTCCCACGCCTTCAATTCCCGCCTTCTTCTTTTATGAATGTGTCGGCTTCATGGGCTGTTTTCGTGCTAGCTCCTAGGGGAGCCTCGAGAAGGTACGGCAAATTCGTGTCTTGCCCGCTGTGCTTTTGTGTTGGTCGGCCATCTCCCGGACGTCATATCTTTCAACATCGACCAACTCTGGGTCGCTGGCGGCGTTCAAACACGCCAGGGGCCGTGTCGCCGCCGGCCGGCACGACGCGATCCTACCGTAAGACGAGCGGGCCAAGCGGGTGGACCCTAATGGGCGGGTCGGGCGGGCCCTAACCGGCGGGTGGACCCTCGCAGTCGAGACGGGTGGGCGGGGCGTTGAAGCAGGCGGGCGGGCTTTCAAACAAGCGAACCGGTGAGGCATCAGAGAGACCTCTGACCGAGATCCCAAACGCCTCCACGACATCGACGTTGGTCACGACCGAGACCACGACGACAAGGACGAAGACGGCGACCCCTAGATCTGTCTTAGTGCGCGCTCTGAGCGGGGTTTCGAGTCGAGTCTAGCCATGGTGACGATCGCCCCCCCCCCAGGACGCCCAAGAAAGGCAAAGACGACGGCGGCGACGGCGGCGGCGCCGACGACGACCCATCGCCGGATCTCTCCTGGGGTGTCCTGGCCAAAACTTCGAAGGGCCTCCAACCCGCGGGGGCGCCCATCGAGGGCCAGAAAACATTCGCAAGCCCCCAGATCGGCCCTCGATCGGCGACGACGTCGATGGGCCGCGCCTGCTGCGCCGCGCGGAGCGCCTCCTCGCGAATTCTCATGGCCTCGAGGCAAGAGGGAGAAGAGTGGGGAGGTTCGAGGATCGAGATCAAGGATCCCGCGTCTGGGTGCCTCCGCATTCCTCCATAGGGGGTCTCCAGAAGCGAAAGAGGACTCACGCACATGGCGACCCGAGAAAATTCAAACGTCCACGGGATGATCGAAGACCGATGGCACACAATTTCGTTAGACGTTTCCGACCTTCTTGGGCCTCTGGAGAACTTCTCATGGCGACGGCCAGATTCCCTTCGAAATTCTGGTCAGAGCATATCCCAAGTCGAACGTCTTGAGGCTCGCGCAAGCGGGACTGCCAACTCTCAATCACGCTTCGCGGTCCGAAGTCATGGGAGGAGGAGGAGGGAGGGAGTGTAGGATAATGAGGAGGAGGAGGAGGAGGAGGAGGAGGAGGAGGCGAATACCATGTGAAATGTGAAGGAGGAGGGCGAAACTGGGGAGGTGTAGGTTTGTCCTCCTGGAGCGGCAGCACCAGTTGCAGGAGCAGCTCTCGTCGCAGGGCTCCTCCTCACGAGCCGAGCCCTGGCGCCGTCCAACAGTCACGCCAGTGGGTAGCAACCTGGTCCCAGGGGAAGGGGCCGAGAGGTCCGGGCGCCACGCCTGGACACGCTCGAGCCGTCGGATGTGCCCTTCGTTGGGCCCCCCTGCAGTCCTCCGAGGACAGCTGGGGAGCTGCAGTGTGTCTGGGTCTCTGGCCACTTGCCTAGAGACCCGATGGCTTGATTTTTCACACATGCTAAGTCTTGAAGCTTTGCTAGTCGTGTCCCGCCTCCACCTCGCTCACCCACATCGCTGGCCTCCTTTCTGTCCGACTCAGACTCCTTTTTAACCAAACACAGTGACACACATACCTACTCACACTCAGACTCGCTCGCACCCAAACTCGCCCGTCCTCAATCCCACCCGCTCTTGAACCCACTCATACTCAGGCAACTCGTACTCAACCTCATACGTACAGACCACACACACTTATATTCACTCACGCTTGGACCCACTCGCACCCACACTCACCTAGATTGAAACTCTCTCATGCCCAGTCACACCCACACTCAGGCTCACTCGCACTCCGACTATCCGCTCACACCCAGACTCGCTAGTCACGCTCAGCCTCGCTCGCCCATGCTCACCGCAATGTGCCAGGCGTGGCCGTTGGACACCACAGGGGGGAACCGAACGGGGTGATATCATGGGCCCATTCACGGTCTCCGCAATCTAGCAAGCGTCATGATGGGGACCTGCCAGGAGGTATAGCACGGGCCCGTTCGCACCCTAATTCGTTCCCAGAAGAGCGTCTGCTTAGGAACCCCTGACATCCTTTCCGCTCAGAGCCCCATGATCATCGCGATGCAGCAGGCGTGGCACCAGGGCACCCCAAAGGGCGGCTGCCAGGGGGTCTATAACGGGCCTGTTCGGGGCCATCGTTGTGCTCACTCTCGCGCAAAACGCGTGCCCTCCCGACAGGCTCTCATGTCAAAACTCCATGATCATCGTGGTGCCGCAGGCGTGGCATTTATCACGGGTCCGTTCGTGTCTAAATGCGTCATCCCTCCCAAGAACTATTTTTTTTGGTTGGGGGGGAACCCACTTCCCTGTCTTTTTCCCAGCGTCCTGTTCGTCGTGATGTAGCAGGCGTGGCGATGGGGGCACCCCACGGGGGGAGCCGCCAGGGCGTAAATCACGGTCCCGCTCGCGCCCAGAATTGTGCTCACTCTCTGGTGTCACTCGTGTTTGGGGTCTTCAACTTCCTCTCTCTACGGCCCCATACTCATCCCGGTGTAGCAGGTGATCCGTGGCAACCCACACCTCGACTCGTGTTTCGTCCTATCCATTCTCTTTCTGCCGCTAAACTTCGCTCATGTTCGTGAGCACATAATTGAAATACTTCGCAGCAAATAAAGACACAGATGGGGTCTCCGCGTCAGATAATTTCAAAAGGGTTCCGTCTACTTTCTTGCGAAATAGGTTCCGACAGCTCGGCGACAACCCGTAGACCTCTAATGCTGAAAACAAATAAAACCCTTCCGAAATGCTTTGTCCATGCGTTGGAAGTCTGGATGCCTCCAGAAGCCGCCGGGGAACCCGGATGCATCAGCAACGGTGCAACGAGCGTCGGTCAGTTAGCGATGCGCGGCGCGAGGGGATCTTTCCCCTTTCGCGCGGTCCTCTGGATAAGGGTGACCCTTCGGCCCCAGGCCACGAAAGCATTGTGCGCGGCCGTCTTCGCGACTGTTCCCTGGTAGGTTCCTGCCGGTCTTGCTCTGTCGCTGCGGCAGGCGCCGCCCTTGACATACGATCGGCTCGCAGGCAGCCGCGAGACGCACGCGAGGCAGAAACGAGGCGGCGACGGGCGGCCACGGGTTGGCCACGAGGCGGCGACGGGTGGCCACCAAGCGGCGACGGGGCGGCGATGGGCAACGGCCGGGCGCTAACCCGGAACTGCCCGCCCGCGCACCTTTTAGAACCATGCGAACAGGGCGCTCCGCGGCTAGGGAGGGAGGGGGGGCAGAAGCGGGGGGGGAGGGAGCATGCGCGCCAGGCCTCCGCGCCGCCGCCAGCGCGTAAGCCCGAGGGGGCAGCGCCAGCGCCGGCCCTGGGCACTACCTCGCAGACAGGTGCGCCCACCACGACGCGGAAAAGCCGCGCCGCAAGCATACCACCCAGATGGGGCCCTGCGCCGCTGCGTGTGCCCGTCACGCGGCGCCCGCGAAGAGGGCGCGCGCCGCCTCGGCCGGCTCGGGTCGCGCAGCGACACCGCTGGCCTCCATTGCTGCCCGCGTCCTCCGGCGTCGCGGCGGGGGGGGGAACAGGCGCCTTGAGAGCTGCTGGCGGGGCCAAGCTCTGACGTCCGCCGGCGGCGCGCGCGCGGGCCGCCTGGCCCGCGGCTCTCTTGGTTGACCCGCAAGGCCGCCAGCTCAACCGCAGCGAGCAAGCGCTGTGCCGTTGCCAACACCGTCAGCTGGAAATCGCGTTCCAAGCAGAATGCTGGCGGTGGCAAGCGACTCCATGGCCGCTGCTTTTGCCAGCCGGTCGGCAGCCGCGTTGCCCGCCCACTCCTCCGCTTCCTCAGCATCCATGTGGCCCTTGATCCACCGTTCCGTCAGGAACCCGCTCCAGCTGTGCTCCGCGACGCGCTCTCAGAGATCGGAATGCGCGCAAGGCGGCCACGCCATTGCGGACGAAGCGGGTCCGTGATGCAACCTACACTGGCGCCCCCCAAGGCTGAACGCGTGGACGGCGGCGGTCAAGCCAACGCGACGCGCAAACTACGCCCTGTCCACGGGCCTGTTGTGGTCCTTCGTGCCGCGGGGCCCATCCACGCGCATTCCCAAGCCGCTGAGGACCGCCAGCCAGTGCCCGAGGCGGCGGAAAGGCGGCGACGAGGCGGCCACGGGGGCGAAAACCTCGAGGCGCATGCCAATTACTAGAAACCAGTAGTGCAGGCACAGCTTGGGGAACTAGGGGGACATTCGCGATAGCCTCATGTTGACAAAGGAGCTGCCCCCCATCCGTTCGTCGCACGAACATGTCGAACAGCTTCGTGGTAGAACCCATGGGGGAAACCAAAGCGAGGATCATGAAATGACAAGGAACCGCCACCAAATCATGTAATACTACGGGATGTGAACGAATGAGGCCGGCGCCGAAGAACGCAACATTTGAAAACTATCCCCAGTACATCCATGTAGTCGTTATTGGCTAGCCAAAGAAAAATGAGCGGCGCTAAAGCGAGAGAACCATTTTGAGCACACCCCACCCTCCATCCGCACAGATATTCGAAATCGTCTAGATGAATGTGCGCAAGGCGAGGGCCGCATCTTGAAGGTCATCCGTGCTCAATCCTTGTAGCTGCTGAGAACTTCAACCTTCCGGCTACATCATCGCAAAGTGCAGGGACGTCTCAGGCGAAACGCCCTGCCCGCTTTGCTGACACATGTGGTTGTGCGACGCAGGATGAGTTCTCCACGGAGAACACGGCTCAGGGAGGAGAGGCACGAGCACGACGACGAGCGAGTGACAGGCAAACACGGGCCTCCCGCGAGATGGCATAGCGACCTTACGCCGCGGCCTACGCGGGCCAGGGCGCGGCACGCCGCACTGAGACGGAGGGCGCTTGCGCGCCTCCTTGCGCGGGCAATCTGTGGTCTCGGGGAAGTGGTCGGGAGGTGCCTGGCCCTCGGTGCCACGGATAACACAGGCATGGCGTCGGAGGTTTGGGGCCTCGAGGATCTCGGGGGCGCGGCGATCCGCCTAGGGGGCTGCTCCGCCTTCCACCGAAGCGGCCCGATGAAAGGCACTGCCTGCGTCTTGGAAAGCACGCCCAGAGCTCCCGACCCCATCTCTCTGCGGCACCTCTTGGCCTGGATCGGTCTGCCAGAGTCCTTGGGCCCCAGTTGGGGCAAACATGCACGTCGTGGTTTCTTGAATTTGTTACTTCCAGACCTGAGGTCTCTGGGAGTCTCTGGAGGTCCCCGCGGGGCTCCGCGGCCCGAAACGTCTCGAAGACGGCCAAACACTTTGCTCCTCGATCGTCGGAAGTGCAGGGGGAGGAGGACGAGGAGCGATGATCGATCCGAGGGGCGGCGCACGCTCCACACGAACAGTTCGCTCCATAACATCTCTGCTGCCCGGCGCAATGTAGCAAAAGCATCAGAGTCAGGACGTCGGGGACCTCTCGGGATCCTCCTTCTCCTCCTCCTCCTCCTCCTCCTCCTCCTCCTCGTCATCCCCTCCCTCCGCAGACATCTGGCAAGTGTAAACACATCAAGACTGCAGATTGACCATCAAGTGCGATACCCAGAACCTGTTTTTTCGGCGCTGCAGTCGTTGAGGAACTTCTCAGGGTGAAGCGCTGACCCCAGGGAAGGGGTCGAGAGGTGTGGGGGCCCATGCCCAAAGCAGGCGATACCGCCAGATGCCCAGGTCCATCTCCTTCTCCTGCACCATCGTTTTCCCTCCTTCCCCCCCTGGTTTCTGCACACCGTGGGCACCGAAGTTCTCAGCAGCGTCAGTCGTGCTTTGTTTGGCGGCGCCTGGATGCGGGGCAAACATCTGGGAGTCTGGAAGCCCTGCCCCACCCAGCCCCCCAGGGGGGAGAAGGGACACATCTTCCCACCTCAGCTGCCAGAGGCTCAAACGCATGTCAACACAGAAATAGAAGTGAGAGTTCTGGAGCAAGAGATGGGTCAGACAGAATTTGTCGGCGCGCGAGCGACAGTGGGCATGCATATGAGACGCCCTGGGGGTTCTATGACCACAAATAACAACAATAACTGTTCGGTGGCGCAGACGCTGGCGAGCCCCGCGCGACAGGGGCAGCTCTGGAGGCGCCACCAACGGGGTCCAGCGCCGTTCCAAGAAATCAGCGAGCACCTCCGAACCTCTCTCTCTCTCTCTCGTTTGTCTTCTCTCTCTCTCTCTGTATGTCTCTCTCTCTCTCTCTCTCCAACCATGATTTAAGATCGCTAGTCCGATTTATAGTTAGATTTGTATACATGTATGTATGTATGTAGGTATGCATGTATGCATGACTGCACGCATGCATACATGCATGCATGCATGCATGTATGTATGTATATATGTATGTATGTATGTATGTATGTATGTATGTGCATATATATATATATATGTGTATAGATAGATATGCGTGCATGGAAGATTTGAACAAACGCATGCAGCATTTGTTCTTCAGGGTTGTTGGACAAGCCCGACCCTCTCTAGGGAATTTCGGGAAAACAGCTTCAGATAAGGCGCGTCGGCTTGCATGAGGCGGACTTCTTCTTACAAGGCCACCCCCCTCGCCCTGTCAATCCCTGCAACCAGCCCAAATCCGCTCAACACAGGCACCCGGACCCCTTCCCGTGCCCATCCTGGCAAGTCTTTCCGAGCTGCGCCCTGCCGTGGCGACGAGAATGCCAATACGGGGCCGAAAATCTCCAGAACGGCGTCCTCCACGACGACGGCGACGAAACACGTCCAATCTCCACGCCCGGAATGGGGAAGGAAAGTATGGGTACGATGCCCCGCCGTAGTGCCTGTTCGTGTGGAACAAGAGTAGCTTTCCTTCGGAACCCTTCTGACAACAATTCTTGTCATTTTGACAGCAGGTCTTGCCCACCTGGACGACAAGCGCCGTCGAGCGGAGGAGGATTGCGGTCAAGACGGCGAGACTTGTTGTCCGATCGTCCCCGACTGACAACAACTCTCCTTCCAGATGGACAGGCGCTGAGGCCGGGCATCGTACCCACACTTTCTGCCCCCCTTCCGGGCGCGCAGGTCCCAGCGCGCACCCCCGACGACCACAGCGTCTCATGCCTGAGCCCATCCGGCGTCCGGCCCCTTCGGCCGCCAGACGGGCGGCCGCCGAGCGGGCCCGGTGCCCACCGACACCTCCGGCCCGAGCCCGTTCAGCCGCCCCCTCGGCGGCCGAGCGGGCTCATGCACCAGGGCGGGCTCGGAAGGGAGCCCTGGGAGCGGGGAGGCCGAGCCTCCGTCGCGCAGGTCTCTGAGCCTCTGGGCCGTGGCTTGCCCGTGGCTGCGGCCGGGGGGGCGGGCGGGCCTCCCTTCGCTTGGCCTCCCTCTCCGAGTCCACGGGCCGCGCGCGCCCCTTCCCTGCTTTTGCCGGGGCCCCGCTTCTTGCTTTTGCCGGGTCCTGCGGGACTGGCCGTCGCCCTGCCTCCCGGCCTCCCTGCCTCCTCCTCCTCCTCCAACTCCTGCCCCATCCTCTTCCTCGCACCATCCCCCGATCCCTGCGTTCCTCGTCCTGATCGTTTTCCCACTCCCCTCAGCGCCACTCTCTCTACATCTATACTCAATTGTCTTTGAATTTCTCGTTACGGCGATTGCTGTTCACATGTCGCTACTACAGAGTAAATATTGTTGTAGTTGTTTCTGTTGATCCCCACTCCAATGCACCTTGTGTTCTTTCAATTGACTTGCCCCTCCCGGGGCTCGCCCCCTTTTCTCTTACAGGGGAACGTCTTGCGCCGCAAACTGGGTAGTTGTCCTCCCAGGCTACAGCAACAACACCAATTTTGAGACTGTTCGCTGTCATAGGATCGCGTGTCATTCAACCTGTACCTCCCAAACCCTCGATTCCTGCCCTCTTCATATTTGATCGTGCCCCTTTTCTTGGGTATTTCGTCTTTCCTTGCCACGTGGGCTTGGTGCAGCTCTCAACACAAAGGAACTAATGGGAAATGAAAAGAGCGAGGAGGAAGGGAGTGGAGGAAGGGAGGGAGAAGGGAAGGGGGCAAGAGGGAGGGAGGGAGAATATGGAAGCCGAGAGGGATTCGCATGAGGGATTTAGCAAGAGGGGATGGCAATGGCAATGAAGTCTTAGGCGAGATCACGGTTCCTGAGTGAAGACAGAGGAAGTGCCCAACGAGAACACATTTTTCGCAAAGAGCAATATTCGCCTCCGTGGTGCTATCCTCCTCCGTGCTGCTATCCTCCTCCTCCTCCTTCTTCTCCTCCCTTCCTCCTGATGAGCATCATCTTCCCCATCATCTGAAGAATTTCTGTCTACATACCTCGCCTACTTCCTCCCTCAATCCCTTCTTCTCCTCCCCCTCTCACCTACCGTCTTCCTTCTCCTCCTCCTTCTTTCAACCCTCGTCTGCATCGCTCCATCACTTCCTTACTACCTCCGTCGTCATCGTCCTCCTCCTTGCACCCTCCTCCCACTCCGCCTGCGCCTTCTCTTCCTCTGACTCCTCTCCTCCACTCTGGAATCCGGATTTTCCATGTACATCCCTCGTTCTCCTCCGTCTCCTCCCAGCCACGCAAATGTTCCTCGTGAATTGCACTCGCACTGGGGCGCGGCATGTAACATTTGACAGCCGGCTCGTCGCAAGCGTGGCCGCGCGCCATAGAGCATATCGTTGTTCTCGCCCAAACGCCGCACGTATAACTTCAGACATCCGAGCTTCTACTTGAGCGCGGCGCATCTTTTCTGCTTGCCAATCTACTTGTGGGCCCATCGCAAGCGCGGCCGCGCGTGATAGAGCGAAGCGTCGTTCTCGTCCAAGCGCCGCGCGTGTAACTTCTGAAATCCGTGTTCTTGCTCGAGGGACGCGCATCTTTTTCGCTTGCCAATGCACATGGGAACATTTCGCATGTTAGTTAGCAGCTGGCTCGTCGCAAACGCGACTTTTTTGCACAATTTTGGAGGGGAGGAGGGGGAGCGGACACATCAGCACGATGACACACTCGGCGACGCCAGCGAGCTACCTCAATCGCCGTGCAAATGATGCGTCCAGCCACGTAGGTGAGCAGTCCAGCGAGCGATGGCGTATATGAATGGTCACCGTGCGGCGGCAGGCGCAAAACTGAAAGTAGAAATCGCGAAATATCGCGGGGAATTGAAACACGGCGCAATCCAGGGCACCGGGCATGGACACGGACGATCGCGCACCGTGCACAGCCAAGGGAGGGGGAGACGGAGGGAGAGCACAGAAACTAGAGCATAAAACCACCATGCGAGCGGGAACGATACGAATACACCCCATTTCGTATCGGTGAGACCGGGCGGGGAAGAGGAGGACGAGCAGGAGAGGAGGGGGGAGGCGCGAAGGCGAACGCTGGAATATAGCAGAACTCATGGTTATATATAAGCCGCATTGCCGGCGAAGAGTTACGCATCACATAACATCCGTGGAAGTCATCCGCTGTCACAGACGGCGGCCAGGCACAAACGCGCAGTAACATATTAGGTCAAAGAGTGCTCCACTTGCAGCCCTTATGGCTGCCCAGCCCAAGCTGGGGGAATAACAAAAAACGGCCACATCCACAGAGGAGGAAAAGGCGAGAGGACACGACCAACGACGACAGAAGAGGAGGGAGGACAGCAAGGCGGAGGGAGGGGAACAACCTCGCACGCAAACTATCGGCCACGCGGCCGGGACAGAGCCGACTGGGCCTCCGCACGGCGAGTCTCCTGTCACGGACTCGGTGCGCGGCCTCATCGTGACATCCAGTGGCAGCCCACGGCCGGATAGGCAGGAACACCTAGAAAGGAGGGAGCGGGAAGGGGACGAGGGCGAAAGCGCGCTCCTGCCTAGCGTCCTGGGCCTTGCCGGCCTCAAATGCCCCGGTGGTCAGGCTGCCCCGTGTGTGCCCGGAGGCCACTGCCACGGAGGTGGGCGGACAAATCGTGCCCCCCCTCGCCAAAATTTTTGGCCGGCTCCACAAAACGGCACTGCGACAGCAAAAGCTATGTGCCACTGGATTTCCTGAGTGGCCCGGGACGGGAGAAAAGAAGGAAGCGGAGGAGGAGAGGAAGGGAGGAGGATGACGGGGGGCAAACAATTTGTGAACGCGCGCGGCGGGTGCCTCAAGGAAAGAAGGCCCAGTTGATCACGCACACGAAGAGGTGAACGAGGGCCCAGGTGGGCACGAACGCAGACATGCTGAGGTCGCCGATCCACCCGTTGCCGAAGCAGCCATTGACATCGGTGGAGTACAGGTGGCGCAACCAGTCATTGGCCCACAGCCGCACGAACAGGGAGTGGCCCACCTCGCCGAGAGAAGACACCCATGCACAATGCGACGCTGAAGTGCGAGCCGCCCGCTACCGGACCCATGTGTCAGCCAGCGCTCGTTGTAGTCGAGCGCGTCTGGCGGCCGCCTCGCGCGCGAATTGCGCGAGCGCCTCTGCTGCGCTGCTGGTGCCTCCGTGGCGTTTGGCGCAACTGGCCGAATGAGCAACATAGAGCAGCAAGGCTCGCTTGGAGAGCTCGGCGGCCGTGTGCGGGTCGTGCAGAACATGGAGCGCCAGGAAGGCGTCGAGGCGATCAGCGACCGGAGCACGCGGGAGGCCGAACTTCCGTCTGGCAAAATCCATCACTACCGGACACGCCGCGTAATGTTGCAGGGAATCCTGATGGTGCCCACATCCGAAAATGCAAGGGCCATCTTCGCCAAATCGACTTCTCGTAACCCATCCGTTGCAGAGCGCGCGGAACGTAGCAAACCAGACCCTGGGAGGGACGTCCCGGGCAAGACCACGCAGAAGCCGAACTGCGCGATCAACCCGGCGCCCAGGGAGGAGGAGCGGGAAGTGGTCCATGTGTCGACGGCGTTGGCGAAAAAACAAATCCCGATCATCGCCCCCCAAGTGGAGTTGGGCCGTCCTCTGCCAATCCTTCCGTTCAACTTCGTGCGGCGAGTTCCCCCGAAGCAGCACGGGGACGCTGAGGGACCTGCTCCGCGCAGCCCGTTGCAGCATCTCGCGCGCGCGGGCCAGGTTGGCGAGGACGTTGGCGTCGACCCAGTCCCGCCAGTGAGCTAAGCGATGTAGACAAGAGCTGTCCGAGACAATGCGCTCCAAATCCCTGTGGCGACGCGCCACCTCCAAGCCCCCCTGGTCCGCGTTCTCCCAGTGGACAACCCGGCACTTCGCGGCATTGGCGATGTCGTACAGGTTAGGGAGCTCCGCCTGGAAACCCAGCATCCGGAGGTTGCGGAGCACGCACAGGGAGGTCCAGCGCCGAGGACCTCGGAAGAGTAGCTTGCAGACGTTGCGCTCGATGTCGTCCCAGTTGCTGGGGGGGTTCAGAAGCTGCGCAAGAAAGGTGAGAACCGGGACGATGTAGATCCGATAAGCGAGGATGGTGTTGAAGGGGCCGCATCCGACCCGCCGCCACAGCAGGGCGCGCTCCTGGAACTTGGCGACCGCCTTCACCCATGAGCGGTCTCCCCTGCCTGGCCCCATGCAGAAGCCGAGGTAGGTAGCATGCTGTTGGATTGAGAAATCGCTCCAACTGCGGACCTGCTGGCCCTGTAAGCGCCTCCGTGCCCCAGGAGGGCAAGAGGAACAGCACTGGAGGAACCTAAGGAACATCGAGCCCCTCCCGAACCCAAGCTGTTCCTTATTTCAGCGTCTTGACTGTATCATCCCACCCACCCACCCGCAACTTGGTCTGCAAAACCCATGCGGCGGCGATTGCGCTGGTGCATCGCTGCGGCCGCGCTAACGCGCACAGGCTCGCGGGCAGACCGGCCAATTGGTCTGGCGCGACCGACGCGGCCGCGGTGGCGCGTTTCGCTGGAAAAGTCCCAGCACGCCTCTCAGACCGCGCGGGCACATCTGTGCCAGTCGGTGATTCGGGGCGACGTCGACAACGGCAAAGACGATGATGATAACAGCGGTGATGGCGGCGACGATTACAATGACAAATGCAGTGGCAATGACGGCGCCGATTTTGATCACGCAAATGACCATGATGGTGTCCTCGCGTCGGTGATAACAAATATTTGAAACGACGTGCGCGCGCCGTCGACGCGCGCGAGTTGCCCGTATTATCTGACAGGGATCGTGCCCCCTGCCCCCGCGCGCGCGCAGGGGCGTTCGAATGATTACGAGTTGCGCTCGCGAGAGGCACGTTTGGTATCAGTTGATGAACATGCTGAATACCGAATACTTTTTTCAAGAATTTGCAAGAACGCGACCGCATGTTTTTTGTTTTGGGGGGAACTTTCCTGTTGCGAGACTGTTAATTTGGAAGCGCATGCTCGGGACACCCAATTTTGAAATCCTTACGAACATGTCTTTTCAAGGTTTCCGGCATGCGCGCGCGACGACGCGCGCGCATGCACTCCGTCCCATTCATTCCAACGGGTTATTGCGACGGCGCGCGCGCAAGGGCCTTC